CATTATTGTTTTTTTGTTATTCATTTAAGTTTTGCATATGTAACCTTATGATTAACATGTTGACTATATGGGTTTTCAGTGAATATGAATGGTGTACAACCTGATAGAAGATACAAAGGAGGTCCTCAGGACTATACTTTGTTGCAACTTCATCCAGAACATGCATCATATTTTGTATGGGAATGATAGGTATATGCATATATTCATCTGCCCTTTTCTATTAGTTTGTTATTTTTCAATAAATTGTAGTCAAGTTTAAACAATATATGAGAAGTACATGTATATATATTGGGACTAATATGTTGTCTATTTGTTGTATTCTAGGAGAAACAATAAATTAGAATTGATGAGAAGGCCTGCCAATTAAACAATTGGCATCTAACAAACAAGCAAGTTCAATTAGTGAACGCGTCTGAGTTGGGTGTGCTATCTATTATTCGGCTAGACCGAATTGATCATCCTTTGATCTCAGCCAATGCAGAGAGGTGGCATTCTGAGACCAATACATTCTATTACAACATTCAAATTGGTGAGATGACACCAACTCTATTTGTTGTGTATGAGATATTAAGACTAGTTGTGGATGGAGAGCGAGTTACATGTCGTCCTATCCGTGACTTGCGAAAGTATATAGAAGACAATTTAGGTATAGTCAAGAATTGGATAACCTCCAACCTAATGAGGTCAATGTGTACTTTGATATTGATTAGTTTCAAATGTATTTAAGTATTTGTAATTTTTTTTTATTGACTGAGTGCATATCATATAACAGGTAATATGGAATTTGTATTTCAAGCCTGATGAGATCATTTCAAATGATTGGCAGCAGACATTTGAAACTGCAATGTGCATAAAAACGCTCATATTTGATGACATTGTTGAGCCGTACATGCCAGATCGCGTTCGCCCGCAATTTAGAGCTAAACAGGGCATTCCAAGAAATCCCTTGTCTGTTGATAAGAGGTCTAGCAGACAAGGTGGACGGCGAGATTGCAGAACAAATCCAACACTGATTGACTCACCACAATCGCATGATGTATGATATTGAAGAAGATACTATCGATATCCGAATATGTGACTGCGAAATTCTAGAAGGTTTCTGGAATTTCGCAATCATATTTTCGGGTGTTGAACATCCGAAAATATCACATTTTCGAATATTGAACATCCAAAAATGGATTCGGATGTTGGACGTCCAAAAATGTCACATTTTCAGATGTTGAACATCCGAAAATGGTTTCGGATGTAGGACATTTGAAAATGTCACATTTTTTGACGTTGGCAATGCAAGCTTTTTGAAATGTGATCGATATTGTGAATCATGCTGATAGATCTTTGTGGTATTAAATTATGCTTTTGTAATTTTGTTCTTACTTTTGTAAGTTGTTCTTAATTTAAGTAAAATTTTGTTCTTACTTCTGTAAACTGCTCTGTGCTATGGTAAAGTAGACTGGTAGATCTTTATGGTATTAAAGTATGCTTCCTAACAACATATCATCTAAAAACATTTTGCAATATGCTTTTTTTAATATTGTCGAGATGATCAATTTGAAGATTTTTTACAACACTGAATTCCAATCACACTAACACCAAGTACAACAACACAATATTGACAACATCGAATTCATTCTATTCATTAATTCATGAAATTGATAATTCAATACAAAAACACAAGATTGACAACATGCAATTCACTCTATTCATTCTTTGCATGTCATCCTATTAGGACCCACTATGCCGCATTGTTTGCACTTCAAAGGCCTGGTGATGGGCTGTTCGGTCTCAGATATCCTTTGTTGTTTTTTCAACCTACCGAGAAAGCGTGTAGTCCTTGGTGGCAACACTGTCTAGTTGAACATACCTGTCAACTCAATATCATCAGAGACAGGCCCATAGGGAGTTTGAAAGGCCCTTTTAAAGTATTCCACTGTGCAATATTGAAGGCAATACGCAGTGGGATCCAAATGCATATGGTTAATAGCCGCAATGGCATAATCACACGGAATGCCACTGAGTTGCTATTTTCTACAACTGCACATCTAATGCGTTAAATCAATAGCGTACTTCTTCTCAAGATAGTGTATCTCAAACTACGTGTCCATGACAGATAAAATTGTGTGAAGAAATATAGCATTCATCTTTCACAAGGAGTAATTTTTGGGCTTTCGGTACTAGCATGCCACTCCAAGTATTACCTAACTTCCTCTTCTCTTCAAACCTAGTCATCAATTGTACCTTTATTTCTTTACACATTGTAATGATCGACTTCTCTCGAACAGATAAAATTCAAGCATTGAAAGACTCGACCATGTTAGAGGTAAGATGATTGTATCTTGACCTTAGAAAATAGGCATCTGCCCAAAGTTTGGGAGGGATATTCTTAATCCACTCATATGCTTTTGGGTCGGCACACTGTATATCAAATATTATTTTTTCAAACCCACTAATGGTCGCTTTATGGGCATCCTTCCAAAATAGAATCAGCAATACTTCAGTATTTGCTGACTTCTTTATAAAACCCTTGAAGTTCTGTCCCATATGTCACTTGCAGAATAATGGAAAACATGTGGGAAAACATTTCTCTATTGCTTATGGCAGGCATTTCTGTTGATCTGGCAAGCAGATTAGGATACTAATTCAATAGCTCACTCAATATACTTAATAAACAATACCAACTCTGGTAATTCTTCTTCTCGACCACTACAAATGCCAATAGGAAGAGCCCATTATTTTCATCTAAGGCGATGACGCATAATAATATGCCTAGATACTTTCCTTTTAAGAATGTCCCAGTGGCCTGCATCCATTAACAAAACCCATAATGCATGGACGGTAAGCAATAAATAATCGTTTGAACTTGCCTTCATCTATGTGGTTGCGAACTTCGGTTCCTGGGTTGGTTCTTCATATCTTCTCCATATATAGGGGGAGGTCATGGTATTGTTGTTCATGTGATCCATTTATCATCTCTCTAGCAACCTCTTTTCCCAGCCAAGCTTGTATGTAGGAAAGCCTGACACTGGGATCACGTTGGACATCATTTACATGTCTTTCGCTCTAATTTTTGGTTGCTCAATAAAACGGCCTTTAATCTTTTTTGCCACCCAATCACTACGAGTTAGTGGCTAATTGATCCTCCCCATTGGACCACTACATGTGTGCTCCTTAATCATAGACTTTACTTTAAAGTATGCAGTACTGCTAACTCGTAAGCATCGCTCTTGCCATGTGCATCCCTTTGCCTTACAATTTGCCCACACCCGTCCCAATTCACTTCATAACAAAATTATTGTGGATTGCAAAATCAACTACATGATGCTAGTATTCATTGACATTTTCAAAAAATTGCCCAATACTCAATTGAACCTTGTTATCAACTCCTCTACATGAGCTCTTTAGTAGTTCAATATCTTCCATATCACGCTTGGGTGCAAGCTCAGGGTCAAGCGCCACTTGAATGTTTTGATCTTGATCAGGTAAAGTGTTACACCGACTGTTGACAAAAGATAGAGTGTAAGATGAAGCAACAATTTATGCACATAAAAGATTGACATAAAACAAGTTACAGATGAAAAAGTAAATTGTAGATATACCTATTCCTTGAAGATGGGTCATCAATAACAATTCCCGTTTTGGCTCCATTGTAGCGGCAATATATACAACAATTCTCGAAGATTCCCCTCCCAACATAAAAGATACATCTATATCATCACTTACATCAATCAAATCAAGCCCACTAGATAGACTTGTGTTGTGGTACATAATAGCTAATTTGCTTGAATCACACATGGTTAAATTACCAAAATGACTTTTTAGTTCCTCCAAGGAACTATTTCTATTATACTTTGTGACCTTCAATTTTTCCACTTTATATATAACACGTCCATTATCTGTATTTATCTCAAATGAACCCCCAAATCGGAATACCAGTTGCACTCCCTTGGTAACCATCGCCAATGCTATTGTATTAAATGAATAACAAATTATGTGTTACAAAAAATCAATACAATAGGGAATACAAAAAATTTGAATATTTCTAACAACTTTAGGGTTGATAAAATGTGAGTATTACATAATAGATTGAAATAGTGTATTACTAAAAAAAGTCAAGTAAATAATAAACAAAAAACAACAACAAATACTCAAATAAACACAAAATAAGCAATAAATATTAATACAAATAAACAAGTTGAACAATATTTAGCCAAAACAAGGAATACAATTTATCAACATAATACAAACAATAAATTTTAATACAAACAACAAATAATTATACAAACAAACAACTTCAACAATATTTAACAAATTTTATTTATTAATCAACAACACACAATAAATACTAATAAAAAAATATAATATTATATTAATTGTGACAAAATAAACATAAATTAGTTGACAGTCTAAGGCAAGAGTAAGAACAGTACCAATCACGATCAAATAGTGAGTCAATCTCTTCAATTTTATGGGGTACTGTATTGGGGAGACAATAAAAGGGGTAGGATGCACGTATAATTCTGTATTTTGTTCGTTTTCTCCCAACTTTATATATAAAAAGAAAAACCTAAAATTGATAAATTTTGGTTGTTAAACAACCAAATTCAACATCTTTTTGGTTGTTCAACAACCAAAAATACATTTAATTCGAATGTTGAACATCCAAAAAATCTTTCAATTCTGTTGTTCAATACCCGAAAAAGGGTAAAGTTGTTTTTTTTTAAATTTACGTTATGAAAAGTAAAAAACGGATAGACATGTAATAACGGAAACTATTCGGTACATCCGTAATAATTCAAAATATAACAGCTATATGTAATTTTTCCTTTTAAATTTTATAATTAAGTATGAAAATAAATTTCAAGATGATATTCAATTTTTTTTACGCCAAAATGACATGTTATGATAAAAATTAAATGTGCGCCATAATTAGATGGTTTAAGGTTGCGACCTCATGCAAACCACACCTAGGTGAGGCATACAACTAGGTGAGTTATTGAAAGCTTACCCGTGGTGCATAATAGTTGGAAGAGCGGTGCACGACTTTTCCTGCATTCTCCTCAAGTCTTCGATTGCAACAGCCAGCCAGCGCGCCAGTAGGGCAGAAGAAATAAGAGGAAGAGGGAGAATAGCTTGTCGGAGACAGAGACATCACATGATCAAAGAATTACTTCTGGGGAGTTGTGTTTGCTAGAGAGATAAAGCTTAAAGTACTTGAATTTAAATCAATCTTCTCGTAGATTACAAGTAGCACTAGTTTTGACGTGATCGTGGAAATGCTCCACATTTCGCTCTGATTCAGGAAAGGAAGAAGCTTGGTTCTATCAGTGGAGAGAGAGGGGGTTGAGCTTTGTGCTTTCTCTCTCTGATGCCTTCCAATCCACCATATCATCAGATCATGCTTCGCCTCCTATCATGCTGCTTTATCAGAGGGCCAATTCTTCTGCATTATTATTCTCTTCCCCTTTGAACGAGGATCATCTCCTGCTATTTTCTGTTCAGGAATGGATCTGTCTAAGGTTGGAGAGAAGCTTCTCAATTCTGTGAGATCTGCTAGATCCTTGGGCCTTCTCCCTTCCATCTCAGCGGATCGCCCTGAGGTACACCACTCTCTATTCTTATTTATCTCCGATGCCTTCTTCCCTTGTTTATATCTCTATCGTTCTCTTCCAATTGCAATTCCCGAATACAATCCATATGGTCAATGAACTTTTTGTTTGCGGAGATCAAGTGCTGATTGATTGTGCCACAGTTGTGCAAATTATGCCACAGTTGATTGTATAGCAAGAATTCCAAATGGAACCTGTTTTTCTCTCTGAATCTAAATGGAATTAGTTATCAATTTGAATCTCTGTATTGTATGCCCTTTTTAAAGATTTTTGGGTGTTGTGATGGTGGACAAGTCTTGCATTAAGGCTAGGAAGGCGTGTTGCATTTACCCTATCCTGGCTGGATTTGCCATCCATCTATTTGCGGATTCCTTTTTATGAATGAATGGGTTTGGTGGTAGGGCTTTTGATTACACACGCAAATGATGATCAATGTGCATTCATATGGGTCATACCATTCTTGTACCTTCTGTAATTTGCCCTTATTATTTCAGTTTCATTACTGGGATTTCCATATGTTAAAAACGGAATTATACTAGCTCACTCTGATCATTGAATGAAAAAATTAGGGATGAATTTTATATTCTTATGTGTGTTGGGGTGCATTGTTTCCACCAGTGTTTTAAATCCTGGATCAAATGGCTGACCCAGTCACTCGCAGGGGCCAATCTAGTTTGGCGGTTCCGATCTGTATCTACCTATTCTCTAAGGTTTATATAACATAGGACCCTAGAAAATATTAAGAAATAAAATCAGTGAAAATTAGGTGGTTAATGGGGTTCTATAGACCTGGATCTCCCACCCCCCATATCCTATCCGAATCTGTTGCTTGCTATTTGGATTGACGATTTTTAAATCACTATAGAGTCCTAGATACCCTAAGGTAGGGAACCTAGGTAATCTTCTTGACAGGTAATTCTTCCAGAAGATTAATTGGTCCATACATCAGAAAATTGAAAGCCTTCGAAATTTAGTAGTATTCTTTCTTTTTAGTTAGTTTGTTTTTTTCCTTGTTTCACAATTTAAGTTAGTTTCCTAAAGTAGCCCTGATTCCACCTCATTACCGTCAAATTAATTAACTTCCTTTGCTGGACCTGCAATTTATCAACAACTTCAACCCCTATAACACCTCTAAATCTAACACCAATTGGTCTAATACCAATTGGTCCTAATCTTATTTAACCTTTATCATTTTACTGTTCAACCATTACCAAATTTTATTTGAACTAGGAGACCTCAATACTTCCAAAACCCTGTTGTACTAAATTTTTTTAAGCCTACCTTGCGTGCCACACATGTCTTGGACTTGGTTTCCAATGGACTTGGTTTCGGGTTCTGGAGAAGGTTATTTCACATTCCTCAAATACTTCTTGAGAACACGTTCCACCTCTCTTAGACTTGGTTTCCCGTGGAGCTCCTTTCGAAGTTAATTTTAAGAGTTCCCTCAATTGGGGTTCCCACTCAATCTCCACATGACAATTGGATGAACTCTGTTGATAACTCACTCCCAATCTCACTAAAGATTTGGTATGATGAATCCTCAAAATGGGATGCAATTATCAACTTGTACATAAAGCCCATGTTATGATTGCGTCATTAATCGTCTTTGCCACGTAGTTCAAAATACGATCATTACGTTCTTTTTGAATACTCCATAGTAGCAGAAGAACAACGTTTCCATGATATTTGGGCTCTAGTAGAAGATACTGCTCTAAAGTGCCCAACGTTGCCCTCATAATACCCACATATAAAAAATATAAAAAAAAGAAAGAAAAAAAAAAGGTCCCATATTCTCCTTGCAAATTTACAACGCATGATAAGATGAGCCACCCTTTCCCTTGCCCCTCTACACATTCAAGACATTGGGGAAAGATATACCATGATTTTGTCTGGGATCCCCTGTTAAGGTTTTGGCTTTTGCAACAACCAATCTAAAAAACAAAATCCTCGGTGGCGTGTGAATGCTTCAGATGGGTCAAGAGGGGATGTCTCCTTTACCAACATCCTTTTATTGCAAAAGGATTTCACCTAATATGTCCATTAGAATCCCAAGAGCACAATATGCTTTTTATCACATATCAACATAGAACAGAAAAATATCACTGACTCATCCCAATGTTAAAAAAAGCGGATTTGGGCGCCTAGGCGGTTTGGGTGCCTGGCCGCCTAGGTGGTCGGGCGGGCGCCAAGGGATAGGGTGCCCTCACCAAAATAAACACCACCCCCCCCCCCCA